ACTAAGTGTGAGGACCCAAGACTTGATTGCCAGCACCCACATGGTGGCCCACCTCATGGTTCCAGGGGATCTGATTGCCCTCTGCTGGCCTTCACAGGTTCCTTTATGCACATGGTGCACATACACTCAGGCAAACATACACATAAAATAAAATAAATATTTCTTAAGTGTGTTCTTCTGAGTAATTGGTTCCGTGCTTGTCCATGAAGCCACAAGGTCTTTCATTCTCCCTCTGTCCCCAAGAAGGGACTTGCTGCGGTTCTTCCCCCCTCCCCCACTTCATTTCAGTCTAAAGTAATTGCTCGTTGCTATGGTTGGAGGTTCCTGTAATTTGTACTCCTATTAAATGCAAATTAATCCACTTATTGAGCCATCTCTTGCCTTTCAAGGGCCTGTGCTGGCCTGTCTTCCTAAAGCCTGGGGGTTGGGTAGAAGCGGGGACTTGAGCCCTGCTCACTGAGTTTCTAACTTTGGCTACCTCCATCCAGCCTCCAGCTTTTGAGAAGCAGGCAGCCCACCATGTGCTTTCCCCTAAGAGACTTTGGGGAAGGACTGCCGACATTCCTCTTGGCCAGAGTTGTCTTCCCAGGAGGGCAAGTCTCTGGGTATTTCCCAAATGGTCCATGATGGGGTTCTGGGGACTCTGAATGTAGCAGCTGCCAGGAGTGACCAGCTCCATGTGTTGAGGTACAGGATCCCGGGACTGGGGTACTCCTGGTCCCTTCAGCATCTAGAAGCAGAGTAACACGGCAGGTCCTGAACCTGGAGCCCTCTGGCATGCCTGGGAGGATTTGGCTGACATGTACATGCCTAAGCAAAAGATAAGTAATGGGAGAGCGCTCTAGGTAGCCCAGCCTGCAACCACAGGCCCAGCCAGTGCCTTCCCTCTCAACTGACTGCTTCCTTCCATCCTGGAATGCCCGGAAAGACATATCCTGCTGGAGTTCCAGGACACCTGCCCCCCAGCTCTGCCTGCACACCTCTAGTGTTTCCTACTTGTTGCAAACGTAGCGATTCCTGTGGGCAGACAGTTCGGTGACAGCAGAGGCCTGTCTAACATCAAGGCCTCCAACACCTGAAACTGTTAGCACACATGCATTCACTCTATAAATATTCAATGGATGAATAAATGGATAAATGCACAAGTGGGTGGCTCTAAGAATGAGTAAGTGAACAACTGAATGGATGGGTATCTTAGCCAACTCAAGTATCTACAGCCACACATTGGTGTTTACTTCTATCGGTGCAAGAATTAGTGCTCAGTAGTACTTACGGACTTACATGCATTCAAGGAGTAGATACACCAATGCTTGCCTTGGCAGTGTCCATGTGGGTGATGTACATTATCATAAAGGGCAACTTAATGCTACGCACATTTTCAAGGATCTTGTACACATCCAATTCCTTGCAGTAGCCTCCAACAGGTGACCTCTGTGCAGGGTCATGTCGACTGTGCTGGTAGAATTGTGTGGGTCCCCAATGCATGTCTAGACAAGCTTGGGCAGGAAGGCCCAGCACTTCCTCTCTGAGTCTCCAACCACTGGATTAAATGAGGGCCACACGTCTCAGAAATGAGATCTCAGAAAGGTAGAAAGCTGTTCCACATGCACCCTGAGACCTGAGACCTGCACCCTGAGATGGTGAGTGTTATCTCCCCTCCATGAGCTGAAGCCTGCACACCCTTTGAGTATCTTGAAGCACACGGGGCTGCCTGCAACTCCAGCTTTTCCTGGAACTGACTCAGTTAATTCACTTTACAGTGGCCCTAATCAGTGCCGTCTCAGGGGGACAAAAATCAAATTACAATCCTTCTGCCTGGAGCCCAAGAAGCCCTGCTTTTAGGGAGGGCAGGAGGCAGCAGATGGTCTCTCCCCTGGGGGGATTTATGAAGCAGTCAGCACAGGAGCCTCACCCCAGGGCTGGTGGTCAGGGCCTTGAGATCATGGCTGCAGCAAACTCCCAAAGCTGGCACCCCCGCCAGGGCATGTTTCATGGTAGAACATTCCGGAAAGACTTCACTAATTTTGCTTCCAATTATTCGTGATTTTACACACACATCCACAGGCACCACAAATTACTGTAATTTGTCCTCTGTTTTCTTATAACGTTTTAGCTTGCATTTGGAGACACATCTGTTTTGCTCAGTTAGCTGTGATGACTTAAACTTTATGACGAGGGAGTGCCTCACAGCTTCCTAGTTGAAGTAATAGAGCCTTCTAGAATGTAATCAAACATCTACTCATTCTACTTGGGCCGTTTTATGATGGTCTTTGACAGACTAGACACTTGAGGCTTTGAGGAAAGTAGGCAGGCCTGGTACGAGGTCCCTGAGGGGCCCACGGGTGTGCCCCAGCAATAAGTCCAGCCAGTCTCCCTGGGACAGAATGAAGCCCAGTTTCTACCCCAGGCCAACAGCCGGGGTGGGGTGGGGTGTGTGTGCGTCCTACCCACCTCCATCTGTCAAGCCTTCAGCCCCCACCGAGGAGGCTCTACGTGCCCAGCTCCCTCAGGCTAGCACAAACCACACTGACAGAAAATAAATGTCAAAGTGAGAAAGAAAGAATACGTCTGCCTTTTCTCACCAAAGCAGCTAATAGGAATTATAAAACAATCTAACGGTTTAATAATTAGATCCAGGCACATGCGGTCTTCATTATGACAGCAAATACTTTTTAGTAATATGAGGGAAAACATGAAACTTAAAATAATTCTTGATAATTGAATTAAGGCCAAGCTTTCCTTTCAGAGCTGCCTTGCTGGGGAGGGGGGATGAGAAGCCCAGAGAACTCAGGAGCAGGTGCTGACATCGGCGAACACAGCACCATGTTCTCCACGGGAGCCAGGGGCACCCACCTTCTGTTTGTGGTTCCTGTTTTGTTTCGAGGAGAAGAAATACAGTGTGGTACCCAAAAGTGTTAATTTCACTAAAACCCAGCGGTGGCCAAGCAGGTCAGAACCCATAAACATTTTCCATTATCGCACCACACGAGGACTTGTATTCTCTCATTTCAGCTCTTTTGAGGTCATTGGACCGTCCATTAATTCTGAGGTCCCATGAAGCGAAATTAGTTTAATTTAGCCTGAATTTAAATTGGAAAACGTGCCCCATGGTAAGGGCAGAAGACGCTGTGAAAAGGCCAACTCTCCCGCGTCAGGAATGCTTCTGTTCCCTCTTTCCTGGCTCCTACCTCTCTCATTTTTCCCTTCTCTTCCACTGCCTCACAGACCATTCTCCACCAGCAGGGGGTGCTCTTTCTAAAATGGATTCCAGAGTGCCCTCCAGCAATCCCAGCAGCTCAGCTTGGAATTGAC